CGCGACGGCCTCAGTGCCGGGCATTACCCCCGGGCCCTCTCGACCCCGGACGTGTCCCTGACAGATGACAATCCCTCATCATAGGGCACTCATGGCTACTCCACCACAACCCAGAAGTGGACTGGGTGTGACAGAGGGTTGTCATGTCCCACTGCCCATTGTCCTGCCAATCACCATGGGTGCCAGACGACCAGGACCCTGTGATAGAACCTGGGGACGGGATCTATGCTGCGATCATCCCCTCAGGGTGGGGCCATGACTTAAGGGCAAGTATGATGCCCTCCCAGTGAATGGCCCAAGAGGCTCATGAGCTGGACGTAGAGCCTGCATTGTTTGAAGAGTTAGTGCTGGGTCACTACCAAGACTTCCGGGATGTGTTTTCGAAAGAGGCCTTTGACCAACTACCCCCCCAGAAGCCTTGGGACCATGCCATAGACCTGGTGCCAGACACCAAACTGCCCAGAGGAAAAATTTTCCCCCTCTCATGCCCAGAGCAGAAAGAACTAGACGAGTTCTTACACGAAAACCTACAGAATGGGTGCATATGGCTGTCCAAGTCTCCAATGGGAGCCCCGGTCTTCTTTGTCAAAAAGAAGAATGGGTCATTACGGCTGGTCCAAGACTACTGAAAACTGAACGAAATCACGGTAAAGAACTCATACCCCCTCCCACTCATCTCGGACGTTCTCGCCTGCCTCTGCAAGGCCAAGTACTTCTCAGCCCTAGACCTATACTGGGGTTCAACAATGTCCAGATTAAGGATGGTGACGAGTGGAAGGCAGCATTTGCGACCAACTGGGGGCTATTCAAGCCCATGGTGATGTTCTTTGGCCTGTGCAACTCCCCTGCAACCTTCCAGTGGGGGTGGGCAACCCAGGTTAGTTCCGTGTCCTGATTATGTAAGCTCAGTGTGGTGGTCGAGTGTGCCATAAATGTCTCATGTACTTTCTCACCACACACAACAAATGAGGAGGAACTTCATTAGTAAACATTGATCAGAATGACTAAAGATCGGACAGAGGAATTTTTGAGGAAATCAAAAATAGCTTTGTTGTGATCAAGAAAATGAATCTATTTCACCCATATCTTCATTTGTAGGAAGTTACATGGAAATTCCTCTGTCCATTTTGTAGAAATATACCATATGCACCATATCCCTGGTTTATAAGTTCTCAAGACAATCCTGGAGGGAGAAAGTACAAACAGCGATTTTTGTTATGGTTTATTTGTAATTTCACCCTGATGCATCAGGGCAAACACTGCCTCATCCCTCAACACTTGATCTTGACTCGTGTTTCTGTGTATTTAGCACTGATACAAGTATCAGCTTCCCTATTTAGCTTATATTGGTCTGCTTTCTCACAAAGCTCAATACATTAGACAGGAATCAAGACTCAAGCACAGTCCGATGCACTCTACCATGCCTGTCTTGCATGCTGGGGACATACTAGCTCAGAAAAGGATAGCTTTCTCCTTGCTCCACCACCTTTTAGTGATGGATGTCATCATTCTTGCTCAAGTTCACCATATGCTAGAACACCATCTCAATCCTCCCACTCAGCTCCGCTCTCCATCTCCCCTACCTTCTGTTGGGTCGAAGATCTCAACCCCCTGGCAACATATTGGCAGACTAAGGCATCAAGTCAATGGGATACTTTTCAAGCTCAAATCACTTTCAGAAAGAGGCACCAGGTTCAAACAAACCATTCACACCCTTCGGCAATGTTGCACACAATCCAAAATGCCAAAAATGCCACTAATGGGAAGCTCAGTGACTCATTGGCTCTACTTTCAATAAAGGATACCCAGATAAAAGATGCAAAATATAATAGGGTAGACATACACAATCACAGGAACACACTCACTGGAAGTATCATAATCCGATCCCTTACTTTCACATCTTGTTCACCACCAATCTTTCCAACCAAGTCTTAAAACTATAGCACACGATGTATACTTTGCTTAAATAATTTCATATGAAATTTGGGAGACTGAGGGTGTGAGTTACGAGGAAATTGTTTTGGGGCTCATGTTTGAGATGATTCTGATTACATAATCAGGACATGGAACTAACCTGGGTTGCCCACCCCCACTTCCAGATGATGATGAACGACATCCTCTGGGACTTCATTGACCGGGAGGTTGTCATCTGCTATATGGACGACATACTCATCTTCACTTCCACCCTAGAGGAACACCGGAAGGTTGTCTGAGAGGTCCTGGAGATGTTGTGGACAAGGATGCTCTTCCTGAAGCCAGAGAAGTGCAAGTTCAAGTGGACCCGGATCAAGTACCTTGGTCTCATCATTTCCGAGGGCAGTGTTGCAATGGACCCGGTGAAGGTCCGTGGAGTTCTCGACTGGCTGACCCCAACCAAGGTGAAAGAGGTACAATCCTTTCTAGGGTTCGTGAACTTCTACCATTGATTCATCAGGGATTTCTCCGAAAAAGCATGACCCCTCCACATGCTGACCCGGAAGGCCAAGGCCTGGAGTTGGGGGCCGGACAAAGACAGTGCCTTTCATGCCCTTAAAGAAGCTGTCACCTCTGCCCCCGTCCTCTCCTTCCCCACAGATTTGGGCCGTCTCAGGCTCGAATGTGATGCCTCCAACTTCATGACCAGCGCAGTCCTCTCCCAGCTCCAGTCAGATGGAGAGTTCCACCTGGTAGCCTTTATGTTCAAGAGCTTTACGGACATAGAGCAGAACTACAAGGTGTATGACAAGGAAATGCTTGCGATCATCCGGGCCCTCGAAGAATGGCGGCACTTCCTAGAGGGTGCCAAGGAGAAGGTTGAAGTTTACACTGACCACTGCAACCTGGGGTACTTCTGCACGGCCCAGAGACTTAACCAATGTCAAGCATGCTGGTCCCTCTTCCTCTCCCACTTCTACTTCACCCTTGTCCATCACCCAGGGAAGCTCATGGGGAAACTGGACATGCTCTCTCGCCATCCAGACCACCCAAAGGGAAGAGACAACAATGAGGGGCTGACACTCCTCCAACCAGCCTGGTTTGAGGCCCATGCAACAGAGGCAGTCTCAGTAGAGGGCGAGGAGGCAGATATTCTGAAAAGGATACGAGAAGCGATGGATCATGATGAGCAGGTGGTGAAGGCCATGAGGGAACTAGGAGAGGGGATGCTGAGGTCAGATGAGTGGGAGAGACAAGGAGAATTGGTCCTCTACCAGGGAAGGGTGTACGTCCTGAAAGACCTGCAACTCCTCCATGATCTGGTACAGCTGCACCATGACGTGTGGGTGATGGGGCACCCAGGACAATGGAAAACCCTGGAACTCGTCTCCTGCAACTACTGGTGGCCTCGGATGGCAGAGTATGTCAGGTGGTACGTACGTGGTTGTGACACCTGTAACCACGTCAAATCCTTCCCCACACGGAAGGTTGGAAAGCTCACCCCAAACAAAGTGCCCACCCACCGCTGGCAGGTGATCTCAGTAGACATGGTGGGAGAGCTCCCAGAGTCAAAGGGATATAATGCCATCCTAGTTGTAGTAGACCGCCTGTCCAAACGTATCCACATGATCCCTACTATGATGTCCATGGATTCAGCTGGTATCGCCCAGCTCTTCCTGGAGCACGTCTGGAAGCACCACAGGCTCCCCTAGGAGATCCTCAGTGATAGGGGAAGCACCTTCATCTCACGCTTCTCAAGGGAACTCGCAGACCTCCTGGGTGTCAAACTAACCCCTTCAACACCCTACCACCCCCAGACTGATGGACAGACGGAACGGGTCAACCAGGAGATCGAAGCCTATCTCCAGGTGTTCATCAACCACTGCCAGGATGACTGGGTGGACTGGCTCCCACTGGCAGAGTTTGCCTACAACAACCATGTCCACTCCTCCACCCTTTGAACCCCCTTCAAGCTTGACACCAGGCAGCCCCGCGGATGGAACCCACATGTACATCCAAGGTAGAAGCTGCTGACGCTTTCTCATCCAGGATGATGAAGATGCAGGAGGAGGCAAAGGCAGCTCTGGAGCATGCAGCAGACGAGATGGCCCACTGCTACAACCAAGGCCAGGAGGCAGCCCCCAAGTACCAGGAAGGTGACCGAGTCTGGCTCAGCGCCCAAAACTATATGACCGACTGTCTGACCAAGAAGCTGGACCATAAGTGGCTAGGTCCCTTCAAGGTTGTCAAAGTCGTCTCCCCTGCTGCTGTCAAGCTCCAGCTCACCGCATGGCAGAAGGGAGTACACCCAGTCGTGTCTGTGATGAACATAAGACCCCACCACCCAGACAAGATCGCAGAACGACCCCCTGACCCCCACCCAGGCCCGGAACTCATAGATGGAGAAGAGGAGTACGAAGTTGAGAAAGTATTGGACTCTAAATGGCTATGCCGGAAACTCTGGTATCTGGTAAAGTTCATGGGCTGGCCAAGCTCAGAGAACCAATGGCTCCAGCAGGACCACTTAGCCCATGCCCCTGACTGGATTGAGGAGTTCCACAGGACGCACCCCCAGGCTCCAGGAAGAGAGAGGGAGAACCGCCTGGCCGCTTCGAGGCGAAGGGGCTTAAGGGGGGGGTGATGTCAGGGCACACCCACCTGACCCGGCCCCAGCTGACCTGGTCCCCCATCACCCACCTGACCCACTCCTTCCCTACTTCCTCCCCCCTTTTCTCTTCCTCTCTTTCTTTCTCCTTTCTCTTTTCTTTCTTCCTTACTTATTACATGGACGACTTCCCTCCTATCAGTGTACCATTGGCCCAGCTGCAGTACGACATGCCCGGACCTGCCAGGCAGCCTCCTGCACACCGGGTGCTCCTGGGATCTCTTGCAGAGATACCCGGACAGATGTGGCTGTGTGCATAGATGACATGGCCTTAACTACATGTACATATATAAACACAGCCTAAGTGGGAACTGAGAAGCAACCTTCTTCTCACACTTCCCACTTTAGCCTAAGTGGCCAGGGACCCTTGTCTGCTTTGGGCCCGTTATTACACATGCCCACATCACACCCTACTGGGCCCTCAGCCCCAGGCGATATACCCAGATGCTCTCAACCCCAGGTCAGTCCCTGACACTCTTGCATGTGAGATGCATTATCAATCAAAGTCATACACTCGTTGTTGATGTGACATTGAATGTAGGCATAGGTGTGTTCATCCTTGTCCATCCATTCCATATAATTCTGATCCGTCATTGACAGTGTAGGTTCTCCACCGTCTGACACAGCTTTGACTACGTTCCACATATGCCCGACTTTGAAGACGGATTCCATTCTCAATGCCCATATTTGATAATTCTTACCCTCAGCATCTAAGGCCACAATAGGAAATCTAGGGTTGTCAATTGATGAGGAAGTGGTGGTAGTGGCTGCAGTAGCAGCTGGGTTTGAGCTGGTTTGGGACATGGGGAGTGGGGAAGGAAGGATAGGGTCCGGAGTTCGCTAGGTTCAGAGTTGACTGGGCAAATAACCTATTGTAATTATGAAATAGTCGCGAATTAGCACTCAGTTCCAAAGATGTGAACTTGTATTATTAGTCATTACCTAGTTGCAAATTAGTGCTAGGAAATATGTACAAGCGTTGTAAGCGTGCTAGGGATGTAACCCAGCAGCAAACAAGAAAAGAAAAAGGGGGGCAAAGAAAATCTTACTACTGGTATGGCCACACACAGTCCCAGTGCAAGTGCACAATACTAATAAATTCTCTTAAACTCAGAACTCACCCTGGTCCTTCTTGGACAGTTGTCAGGGAGTCAAACTAAGCTCTTTAAACATGTGGAAGGGTCGCTCAACACCACAGTCTTTGTAGCACAGAATGGGGTCCAACAACTGTAAGTACAATGCAAACTGGGTGTATATATAGAAAAAAAGAGAAATCAGAACAAAAAACAAGGAAAATAGCCGATGGATGGTGGCAATGGAAACAGGAAGAATGTTGAGAACTCGGCTAAGAAACAATAAGGCAAAAAAAATGTCCACAAGGCAACAATAAAATCAATAATTGAGGCCCATAAGGTCAATATCAACCATCAATCTCGCTTCTCCATCGCATATCCGTCATTTTAACTCCCATCCCGTCATTCCATCCTCTTCTCCTGATCCGTCGCTGTCCTTCAAGCTCAAAATCGTGTGAATTGGTGCAAAATTGGTGGAGATATGGGGGAAATGGTGGATATCCGTGAATTTTGGGGAAGTGGCAATATGGGTCTTGAGAAAAAAGCATGGAAAAAAATGGAAAAAAATGTGGAAATGTGCCATGGGCATTGTTAATGTGTCGGAGGCTTGAGGGTGCTCATTGGAGCCTCGAAAAATGTGGTTCTGGCCTTGTTTGTGTGGTACTTGCTGTGCCCTCCTACAGTGTCAGACTAAGTCTGCTCCAAGTGATGAAAAGAAATCTCACCTCAGTTCCAAAGATGTGAACTGAGGAGAGAGGAAAGAGAAAAATCGCACGAGGTGGCTTTTAAGCCATCCTCGACTGCGTTCATCAACATGGATGCCAAAAGTAGAAGCATCAGGCAATCCTTCATGGAAATGCCCATGTGCAAGATGTATAGTCCGACAGACTCAATGGACAGTCCACAGTGTACCAAGAAAAAAAGAGATTTCAACATTTCAGCCCCTGCCAAGTGCCAGCTCACCAAAGCATGTTAGCACTTTAACACCTTCTGGGCCATCAAATTGATGGCTCCCACCTATTCCTCTCATGATGAGAGGTTGGAGACAGCCCAGATGACCATCTCTCTACTGGTTTCACACCAGTAGTTCAGCTCTCCAGCTTTTGCTGAGAGCTGACATTTGGAAGCGTGACCCGCTTCACTAATTTTCAGAGTTTGCATCATAGATGCAACTCCTTCTCTCTCTCTCTCAAGAATGAGAGGTTAGAGATGGCTGAATAAGCCGTCTCCCTGTTATTTTTAAGTGCTATTAAGCACTTACTGTCCACTGGGCCATATAAGCGCGCTTGCACTTCTGGCCCAACTCCCTTGTCTTACCCATTTTTATGGGTAATAACTCGATTTCCGCTCCCTAACAATTGTTTAGGGAGGAGCGGCCTTCACTGGCCTGGGGTTTGTTGACACCAATACTCCCTAACAGCTGTTTAGGGAGGAGCAGCCATAAATGGCCTAGGGTTTCACGACCCTATGTTTTATTTTTTACTTTTATCATTAAAATTCCTGTAAATCAGGAATTTGAAGGCCTAATCGCCTTCACTAGTGGAGGTCTAACCACCTCTACATTTTTATCTTAAAATTTTAATCCTTTTGATTTATTCCTGTTAAACCAGGAATTTCTAGATCTGTGGAGGCTTAACAGCCTCTACACCACTACTTTTCCTTGGACCATCAAACCAATGGTTCTGTAAAGGCCTAACAGCCTTTACTTTATTTTGAACTTCTTGATCTGTCAAAACAACAGATTTGTGGAGGCTTAACAGCCTCTACCTTACTATTGTTTCTTGATCTGTTGAAACGACAGATCTGTGGAGGCCTAACAGCCTCTACCTTAATTTTATTCTATGAACTGTCAAAATAACAGTTCTGTTAAGGCCTAACAGCCTTTACATTAAATTTTTAACTTTTAAATTTTAAATTTTCATGTTAATTTTAAAGCTGTCATCCCAACAGTTTGTAAAGGTTTAACAACTTTTATATTTCACATTCTTTTATATCTTTCAAAATTTAGAATCTCAATTTGTAAAGGTTTAACCACCTTTACTATTCACTTTCATTTTTTTCAAAAAATTTTTTTCCCTTCTTCCCATGTTATCCCTCTTGTGTGTGATATTAATATCACAAGGGAGGAGAGTGTAAGGAGTGGTAACCCCACCCTTCATTCATTATCTTATTGTATATTTGTCTTGATTTAAACATGCATAAACAATGTATATACAATAACGTGGGAATTTGGGAAAAGGAAAAAACTCCTTTTCCTCCCCATCATTGATAATTAAAGCTCCATACAGCTCAACTTTATTGACGACCTGAGGATTGAGGAGAACTGGGGTTGGAACCTACACCAACCCCTTACAGTCCCCATGACCCCTCTCTCTATAACCCACAACCTGACCTGTAACAGCCCATCTCAGGGCACAATGCTACTGTGGGTAAGAAAGTGAGAAGAAGGTTAACTTCTCACTTTCCCACAGTGGCCCAATATGGCAAAAACTTCCAGGGATACCCGGAAGTCACATGAGAAATGGGAACCAGGCCCAGAGCATGTGGCACGCAGAGCATGTGGGGCGGAGCACACATGTGGGTCCAGGTCTGGGTCCGGATCCGGGCTAGTCAGGGTGTGTGCCCTGACAATGTTCAAGGGGCACTTTTCTCCACCACTTGACTTGATTCCTTGGAAGACCCTCCCATTTATGCTCATCAAGCAGAAGGTTGGCTATCCATAACTGTCCCCCAAATATCTTCCTTGATCTCATTTGCAAGGGTGGTGACTATGCAAAAGTCGAGCAGTGGTGCATCCTCTATGATGCTATTGGTGGAGAAGCTCCAGCTGAAAGGTATGCAGAGTATGGTCCCTGAAGCTGTTCCTTGGAGTGCTGAGGATGGAGCTCATGTTCCAAACAGTAAGGACTACAAGGACATTGTCTTGCTTCAAGACAATCAAGGGGCTGGGGGTCATCAGGGTCATGTGTTGTTGACCATACATGATGTCTCTGGTCTTCTTTCAACAAACATCAGCAAAAGTCTGTTATGCTCCGGAGCATCAAGAGTGGCTGGAGCATGTGGGAGACAAAACAGCAGATTGGGCACTCCTGGAGCCAATAGTGTTCTCCTGGGAGGGGGTTCAGGAGCAGCTGGGAGTGGTGAGGAGTATGTAATGTGCCAGGAGCAGTGGGAGGAAAACTTTGGTCTCTAAAAAGTTGAAAAAAAAATTTAGGGAAAAATCAAAAAAAAAATTCAGGAACTATAGTGCCTTTAAAGTGCTTTCAGGACATATAATTATTTGCAAAATTGAGGAAGAAATGATGGAGAAAAATGGAAAATACTTTCGGAGACCCAAGAAATAATGAGAACTGAATTGATGGGAAAGTCTGAAAATTGAATAGGAAAGTGAGGGGAAGCCTTGTAGCATTGTTATTTTCTGCTGTTGTGATTTTTCCTGATTGTTCTTGGTCTCACTCCCAGCTGCTCCTGGACCCTCCCAGGAGCTTTCAGGAGCTTCCTGGAGTATTGAGGAGCAGCTGGGAATGAGACCAAGAAGAATTGGGAAAAATCAGAACAGCAGAAAATAACAATGCTACAAGGCTTCCCCTCATTTTCCTATTCAATTTTCAGACTTTCCCATCAATTCAGTTCTTGGGTCTCCAAAAGTATTTTCCATTAGCTGCTCCTGGACCCTCCCAGGAGTATCCAGGAGTATCCAGTAGCAGCTGGGAGTGAGACCAAGAACAATCAGGAAAAATTAGAACAGCAGAAAATAACAATGCTTACAAGGCTTCCCCTCACTTTCCTATTCAATTTTCAGACTTTCCCATCAATTCAGTTCTCATTATTTCTTGGGTCTCCGAAAGTATTTTCCATTTTCTGAATTTTTTTGATTTTTTCCCTAATTATTTTTTTCAACTTTTTAGAAGTCCCTATTTTTCAAATTTTCCTCATTCCCCCCTCATTCCCCCCTCATTCTCCCCTCATTCTCCCCTCATTCTCCCCTCATTTCCCCCTCATTTCCCCCCCTCATTTCCCCCCTCATTCTCCCCATATTCTGCCAGCCCGAAAGTGATTAAGTTGCCAGATTAATCATATATCAGGCCATAAATTTTGATTGTGTATTGGTGAGTCTCAGTGTCCTTGATATATAGTATAGTGTTTGATCTAAATGTTAAGCAGTGTCTTGTTGTGTTAGTCTTGTGGTAGGAGGTATTCATGGGGGATCTTCCCTCTTTTTTTCCTTTTCATTTTCAAATGCTCCAGGAGCTCCCAGAAGCTTCTCACCCCTATACACTTTGAAGCATTTAAATTGTATTTACTGGATATGTTTGTGCACAAAGCAATGCTCCAGGCCCTCCTGGGAGTGCCCTGGAGTACCTAGCCAACTCTGGAGGAAATGGGCTGTTCCTGGACTGGCCAATCTCCTCCTGATTCTCCCAGTGCTCTCGATACTCCGGAGCACTCAGGAGCATAACAATTTTTTGCTGATGAATGAAGCACCTGGTTTGGCTGATATTCAGCTGACTACATCCACTATGGCTGTTCAAAGTCCATGCTCCCTGCCAGCAACACTAAGTGTGTCTCCCTCTCACTTCCTGCCTTTGACTGTGACAGGATCAACATCTGGGACTCTGGATCCGATGGCCAATGTACCACCTTCCATGCTGCCAGTGGAGCTGCTGCTGCTATCTCACTCTTCATCCAGCATGTTTGACGTGCCACTTTAAATATGCTGACCTTCAGGAC